CAGCATTCAGGCCTATTCTGTATTCGTATACTGTGTACACATTGCCATGGTGACATGAAATCCCTTCCATAATTGCTCTGAGCCTAGTTGGTCATCTTATACTTTAGGATTTAGCTATGTACAGGTCACCTTTCTTATGAATGCAAGAACTAGTTAAAGATATGCTTCCTAGTTTATAAAGACATGTATGTGTATATATATATATATATATATATATATATATATATATATATATATATATATGTATGTTTTTGCTTTTTTGTTTTGGTATTTAATAGTGCCTGCCATACTATTTTCCCATGTACACTGTATATCAGCTGATACTTTAGAATTCAGTTCATGCCACTGTTACTTTATAGTGTGCCAGAGATAGGAACATTTTAGAATAAGTTTGATAAATTAAAAAATTTAGTAAAGCAAAAACAGAATTAGGAAGAAATCTATGAAAAACATAAATGTCAGTGGAGTGGCAATGGGAAAAAATTAACACAGGCTTTATAATTTCCAATGTTCAGAGGAGAAAAGGATGTGAAAATACATAATAAAATATTTATTATGAACAGCCATAAATAGTTTTAAAAGAGCAACTATTTTGCATTTGTATTTGAATTTCAATAGAAATTTTAGCAGAACTGCTTTGAACTGTTACTTCATTGATAAATGAAAACAGGCCCTTTTATGACAAGTTGTAAAAGCTTATATAGTTTAAGGTTCCCTCTCCACCCTGCAATTAGCTGCAGGAAGAGATCAACCATAGGTTCTATTTTATGAGTTTTATAGGGGCATAGCCACCTCAGTTTACATGCTGTGAATTCCTGGAAAATGCTCTACATTGGAGAAGATAAAGTGTGCCCTTTGAATCAAGATATTTCATTTAAATCCACACTTTTATCTACAAGTGTGATACTACAAATAATATAATAAACATGACGTTTTACATAAGTATATGTATAAAAAATATTTTACAAAGTGTAGCAATACAATATATAGGAATCTTGTCAACATCAAGGGCTAAACAAGGATAACAATATAGCAATAATGACTCAAAATGTTGCAAAATAAGAGGTATCATAAAATCCCAGAGACACAATAAAACTTACTTTGTATGACTCAATCAGTAAATTTATGAACAAATTTAGTGTTGATGCCAAGCAATATTATGGATATCTCAAATATTTTCAAAGTAACAAAATAGTCTAAGACTTTAAAGTTTACTACTAATAGGTTATGTGACAAAAATCTACCAGTTAACCTTTAAAAAATTCATTGTTAAGCTAAAGAATGAAAGAACAACTATTGAATTAACATTTACATTTCAGGTCAAGTTTGGATATTTTAAATCCTAATGATGAAAGGGCTACTTCGACAAATAGTAGGTATTTCACAAGAGGCATAAACCTAATGAGACAGACTGTGTTTTATCTGAACCTGTTGTGGTTCAGATGTGTAAATATAAACTTTTTAGAAAATATTAGCTGGAATTTTCTAAACTACTCCAAATCCATTGTTAAAAGAAAATGTGTGCTCAGTAACAGGATCACTGAACAAACTAAGAGCAATGCATATTAGTAACTGTGACAGATTTGAAAGGCAGGAACTTTGCAAAATTTCAAGTCATTAATCAGAATAGGTCATATTGATATTGCTTGCATTTTGCTTTATCATTTTATTGAGGAGATTAAAAACCAAAACTCAAATCACCAAGAAACATGTACATTTTGGCATGGCTTACTATGTTTTGATGTCTTCTGCAAGTATAATAATAATATTCTGCCACAAAATATAAAAGAACATGCTATGCATACAATATATATTAAAAGGCAGGTATGTTTTAACTGTGTTCCCGAGGAACATTTACTCACAGTGGTTGGTGTTTTCTTTTTGATTTGCAAATAAGTCCTTCATTTAAAGCAAATAAAGGACTCACACCTATGCTGACTTAACTATTAACTAACTTTTACACCTGCCTTTCAGACAAGGTTCAGACAAGGACCTCTGAAAGCTCTGAGGCTGATAATTTATCCTTAACTTGCCATAGGCTATCAGCAGGTGCAGAGGCTTGTCTTTAAAGGACATAATCTAATTATTTTCGTATAATCTACAAATGTGATAATCTAATTTTCATATAATCTACAAATATGCCATGTGTGCTTTTTAGTACAGTGTTCAAGTGAATACTGCTCAGCAAAAAAGTCAACAAGAAAGTTACAGTTTTAATCATCAAATCAGAACTGGGACACTAGGTACATATAAAATAAAGTCTATAATGTACAAGCAAGTTGAACAGGTTAGTTTTACAAAAGAATATTGGGCTAATGTCCAATAACCTGCCTAAGACTCTGCCAGAAGGCAGAGATGGTCAACTCCTATCACATTTGTAAAAATGAAAATTTTATACTACCAAATACAAATGGGACTGCACAGAGACAACTGAGAGATAGTTTAGATCAGTACACTTAAGTAATTCATCTCTTTTTTTGTTTCTTGAAAAAATAACTTGGAAATGTACTCTTGGGTATAGACAAAATCAGGAACTCAGAGGGCTGGGAGTGTAGCTCAGCACGAGAGCACTTGCCTAACGTGTAGGGCCACAGATTGAATCCTCACTTCTAAAACAAGAAAACACAAAACAGCTGCTCAGCACACAAAATAACAAGGGAGGTTTGATTCATTTTCATGCAGGGCATCAATCCATTCAGGCACAGGCTTCAACTTTTAAAGGCAGTGCAAAACCAGGGTATTACGTATGCCAAAGATAAACAACAAGCCTCCCGCAACAACTCCCAACAAAGTTCATGTAACAAATGAAAATAAAAAAAGCAAATGAGTCAATTGAAAAGAGGGCTAGGCAATGTCGAACAAAGGCACAGAGGTGGTTTTGTTTTCAGGCTAATCTGTATTTACTTATGTGACACAACATTACTGTGTTTAAGAAGCAAAAGCGCCCCATAACCATATATTTAACTGAAAACTTTTCAGAGTTCCACCTGGGACTACGAAAAAGCACATCATTCCCTGGAACAGAGGCTTGAGAAATCTCAGTTACTCACTGACCTCACTTGCTAAATAGTTACACCAAATAGCACTCTACAAGGCACGGGCTGTTTGCTGGGGCACTAGGAGGAAGAGGGAAGAAAGAACGGTAATGGGTAGGAATGATGGGCACTGAGGTTTCCAGACCAAATGGCATTTCGTGCCCAGCACCAGCCATTCACAAATCTTGGGCGATTCCCTTTCTATTTGGTTTTTGGGCACAAAAGAGTGGCTTAATGCATGGGCTCTCTTCTGGACAAAGAAATACAAGGTTTGGATTGACAAATATTTTGTCTTGATAATTTTTAAGGACTGATTCCCTTCTTTTTTCAATAAACATGTTGGTTTCTTAAACAATTAAAGAGCTCAACGAAAAAAGCTACATAGAACTATACTTCTGCGAAAATCAGACTTAATCTATCCTGAAAATCCCCGGGGTACCAGATAGTGAGCAGACTTGTGATTCTGTGGGGAAGGGCCCAGACTGTCGACAGGCTAAAGGACTGCAGAGGCGGGCAAGACATTCTAGTTTGTAGCAAAGGAACACCAGGCAGCTGGTCCTACCTCAGAACCTATAAGAAGAGAGCTGGGTGATAAATATGAGGTTGGTAAAAATGTGTTGATTGTATGGGTAAAAATGGTATGATCACTTCATGATCCAGCCAGGAAAGCAGACTCCTAAAACAACACTTGAGCACTATACACATGAGACTCAGCTCCTAACTCAGGTTCTTCTGGGGTCATTACTGTGTTCTCATAAGTAGTAATAACATCCCTGCTCTTGATTTCATGTGAATTAGGTTTCAATACTCCATCAATTAATAGCAGAGATTCATCTACCACCATCCCAGAAACTAGATAACAAGAAAGCTGATGGGTTGCACTTTTCAGGGTCCTAGAATCTGTAAATTAACCAGAACTGTGACTAAGGTGCCATGGGAATGCCTGTAAGAGTAAAACAAATTTCAAAAGTACATTACTCAAATACATTAAAAATAAGAAACTTCCTTAATTAAGCTTCTAATTTTGGTAATGAATAAAACTTACAAAATGTTGTGGCTACTCTCTTAGTGTACTTACTAAGGGAAGCTGGAACAACCCTACAACTGAATGTTTTTATGGTTGTGTTGTTGACTAACATGTCATACATACCATACCTTAAATGATAGAACACATTAAACTAATCAAATAGAAAATAAAGCCCATTTTCTAGGGAGGCAACTATTACTCACAAGAAAATATTCAAATGCAGTTCAATATTGTTTTTATTTCATTTAAATTTATGACATATTTCTCGCAATAGAAACTAGTAAGGTATTTGAAGAGCTTGAAGACTTATATAAAGGATGAGAAGATTATGTTGAAGGGGAAGTAGATGTATTCTAGATTGCATCATCTTATGAAAATTTCAGCTGGAAGCTAGCTACTTAGGCATATTTCATACAAGCATGTTCAGAAACTAAAAGAAAATACCATTCTATGTATATTACTATAATAAATAGTATAATTAAATGCCTTTTGTTGTCTAGTACTAACAGAAAAGGGATAAAAGGCAAAACTTACTCCTACAATAGTAAGTAAAATAACTTTTATGAGAAATGAAGCATTAGAGAATTCTTTTACTATTATAAAACATCCACTCTAAAATCATACTATTCCAGAAAATGATTCATTTTAAATGCAAATATCATATTATATGTTTACATTATTAAAAGTATAAATTACTTCAGTTTAAAATATGAACAAGTGGCTGTAAAAGATTGTATCTTATTTTCCTATATTTTGGCAAAAATTAGGTTTTCTTTAATTGGAAACATGAAGTTAATTTTCCTGTAAGGCTATAACTTTGGAAAAGAGAAGTTAAAAGAGTTTTCAACAATGGTGTCATCAATCAGCACCATTTTGTAATTTCTTACCAGCTTTAACGAGAGAGAGAGAGAGAGAGAGAGAGACTGAGACTCCCTTACCGTTGGCGGTGCATCTACTTGTTGGTGGATGCAAGGCCTTCTTTCTATGCTGATGTATGCTGTGGAGAGGAAAGAACCGCATTTGGTTATTATGCCCAGTTAATTTTGAAAACATCACGGAGTTTATAAAAAAAAAAAAAGGAATGCTCCTCAGAAGGCAGGATCCGTCCAAATTGTCACAGATTCTTTGGTCAGGAACAGCTGGAGAGGTAAGCTAACTAAGACACACAATTTAAGGTCAGCTAAGCCTTTTTTCCCCATTCAGGTGGCATCTAGCTACAGTTGACGATGTATTCCTATCCTGCTCTAAGCACAAAAATTCCACCATTATCTGTCTCGGCTGCAATTCTTCCGGAAAAGTTTTATTTCTGACTTGAGGTCATTAGATTTATAATGTAACACCATAAAAGCTGTGAAAGAATCAGTGCTTCCTTATTTTCTCAAAAGAAAAAATAAATCCATTTGAATTTCTCTTTGATGTGACTTCCTGCTGTGATATATTCTGTTATTTATTAAATCACCATAGGATGTCAGAAAGTTCTGCTTTCTCTCTCTACAATGGTAACAATACGGGCTAATCTTTAGAATTACCCTTTTATCAGACGTGGATTTATCTTTTTGTTCTCAGTGTCCTTTATTACATTTCTTTGTCATAAGTATCCTGTAAAGTATATAACATCCCGCATCTGATCTGTAAGACACTAGTTCAAAAGTCAGACATGAGCTAAAAATGAACACAGGTGTGGGTCTAATTTACTTTGTAGTATCTGTCCAGCAGCAAATATGTAAGTTAATATTGTAACCGTTTACCAGAATAGTTTTGTTCAAATAATGCTAATGGATGACACACAATGTTGGAGGCAAGAACTGCAATGTCTACTAAGAGCAATTAGCAAAATCCCAGTTGAAGCAAAATGTTAAGTTCCTCTCTTTTGAATGTACTTACCTGATTTTCCTTAAAGTAAAAAGGGTAAAGTGATCAAGACAGAACTATAGCTTTATATCATTTTGAAATAATAGCTTTAAAATAAAGCACAATATATTTAGGAATACAGCTTTGCTTCATTTAAATACTCTTTTTCAAGAGCTGAGTATGGTGATACTTGAAATCTCAGCACCGAGGAAGCTGCGGGTGTCTGTCACAGCCCTCAGAGGCAGGAGAATTGCAAATTTGATGCAGTCCTAATAATTCAGTAAATCCTAGTCACAAAACCAAACAAAGCCTTCAAGCAATACAAAAACAATCCCTCCCACATTTTCAGTACCCATTGTTTGCCAACAGCATATGAAGTACTTTTGAGCCTTGGTCCAACCAACTGATATTTACTGAGTGGCTCTCTGGTACTCAGAGATAAAAGATGAAATAGTGTAATTAAACAGAACTGTTCTGTACTGAAAAAAAAATGTAGAGCAAATGAAGCAGGGTTTTCCCTTAAGTGTAAAGTCTTTAAGGTAACTCTGAGGAAAGACATTGATTCACAGATTAATCTTATCTTTGAATTAAAAAAAAGGACAAATAAAAATTGGAAAATACTTAAACAATTTCGGTTCTTGTCAATTTCTGTTGTCTCTGACATCTTCTAACTTTCCTACTGCAATCAGTAAGAGTGTGGTATGGCTCATTTGCTTTCAAATGAGAGTGGTCTTGTTTAGTTAGAAATGAAAAGTAATTTAAAAGGATAAGAACAAAATAAAACATTCCCCTTATTTATATTCAATTACAGTTACCAGAAACTTTCTACAATTGATAAACACATTCAACAATGTATCAGAAAACAAAATTAACACAGAAAAATCCGTAGTTTTCATAGATACAAATGACAAATACACCAAGAAAGAAGTCAAGGAAACAATACCATTCATAATAGCCTCAACAACAATAAACAAACAAATACAAAAAAAACCCAAAGCAAAACAAAACCCAACAACAAAAAACAAAATGAACAAAAACTTGAAATAAATTTAACCAAATAAGTGAAAGATATGTATTGTGAAAATTTTAAGACATCAAAGAAAGAAACTGAAGACAATACCAGAAGATGGAAAGACCTCCCATGCTCATGGATTGATAGGATTACTATTATGAAAATGGCCACCCTACCAAAAACAATCTACAGGTTCAGTGCCATCCTCATCAAACTTCTTCACATAAATTGAAAAAAATCTTTCATATGGAACTACAAAAGATCTGATATTCTGACTCTGACAGAGGAGAAAGGAGGAAATACGCTTGAACTCACTGGCGTAAGAATTTTCTGAACAGGAAGGGCCCTGATAGCTTAGGCATTACAATCAACAATTAATAAATGGAACCTCATGAAATTAAAATTTCTATGTGGAAAAGGATACCATCATTTAGGAAGAGAGGCAGATTTCAGAATGGTGAAAAAAAACTTTATCAGCAACACAGAGGGTTAATACTTAGAATATATACAGAATTGGGGAAAAAAAACAAGAACAAGAAAACTACCCAATTAAAAATAGGGCACAGAACTAAACAGTTTTCAAAAAATGAAATACAAATGACCAAGAAACAGTTAAAAATGTTTAACATCCTCAGGTATCAAGGAATTGTAAATTAAAACTTCTTTGAGATTTCATCTCACCCTAGTCAGATTGGCTAAGGTGAAGGAGGAGGAGGAGGAGGAGGAGGAGGAGGAGGAGGAGGAGGAGGAGGAGGAGGAGGAGGAGGGAAAAACAAATGGTGGTATGGATGTTATGGATGATGGATGTGGGAAGGGGAGAATACTGGTTTGCTGCTGGTGGGAGTGTAAACTGGCACATTCACGATAGAAATCACTGTGGAGGTTTCTCAAAAACATAAAAACAAATCTACCTTATGGTCCAGTTACAGCACTCTTGGGAATATACTCCAAGTACTCCATCTCCTGCTCTAGAGCTACTGCTCATCCGTGTTCATTGCTGCTTAATTCACATGAACAGGGAATGGAAACAGCCTAATCATGTGGTATACTATGGATTACACATGATTACACACATGTAATACTACTCAGCTATTAAGAAAAATGAAATTTTCAAGTAAGTGGATGGAGCTTGAAACAATCATTCTGAGGGAGGTGCCACAGAAAGACAAACTTCACATTTTTTCTCATCTGTGGATGTTAGCTTTGAAGCTTCAGGTAGGTGTGTGCCATTTGGAATATCCATAGAGACCAGAAAATTAAGGAGCCATGAGGGAGGGGCTTTAAAGAAAAAGGAGACAGAACAGACTATTATAAAGGGGTAAAAGAGATGAATGGAACAGGAAGAGTTATACTGGGGTTTGGGAGTGCAGGGTAGGGTAGAGGAGGGAGTATGGGAAGGGGCGAACCAAAGACTTAAAAAAAATACATGAATACCTACACACACACACACACACACACACACACACACACACACACACACACACACAGAGAGAGAGAGAGAGAGAGAGAGAGAGAGAGAGAGAGAGAGAGAGAGAGAGAGAGAGAGAGAGGGAGACAGAGAGAGAGAGGGAGACAGAGAGAGAGAGGGAGACAGAGACAGAAAGAGAGAGAGTTAAAATGAGCTACCCTCCAACAGGCACCATGCCCCTACTAGACATCACAGGATAACGAATATGAAGCCCAGAGCCAGGAACCAGTTTCTTTTTTTGAAATTGTTGGCCAGCAAGGTCCTACAGACCCCCTAAACATCACCGACTATTGACACACTGCTCTTGGTTACCCTCCAGAACCTTACTTCAAGACACAATTGCTGAAGATACCACATATTTTGTGTCACAGGAACAAAGCATAATCAAGCTGGTACTGACCAGTTTTCATAGCGCTGGAAGTTGCTAAGCAAGGTACCAGTGGAGAAAAGTAACTGTCAGTCACACGCAGCTGTGAAGCCTGAGCGCTAGACCAATGACAGGCCTGGCAAGACCCGCCCACAGGTGCAACAGCGGTACAAACATCATGGGGGTAACTGACCACTCTGATCGGATTTCCCTTCACATGAATAAATCTGTACCTGGCACCGTTATCAGGCTATGAACCTATGGCTTGACAGGTCATAGGTTCTAGGGAAGAACCTACTATTACTATTTGCTAAATGGACATAGTATTACACCAACTTCTAATGACTTACCATTGTACTCGTAGATTAAAGCATCTCTCAACCATCATCAGAGTAGCTTATGGAGTTTAAGCCTTGCAGTTTATGGTTGTGATGATTTATATGAGAATTACGCCATAGACTCATTTGTTTTGATACTTGGCTTCCAGTTGGTGGAATTGTTTGGGAAACCTTACAGGTGATGGCCTTGTTGAAGGGTGTGTGTCACTGGGGGTGAAGTTGGAGGTTCCAAAAGTCCATGTCATTCCAAGTGTCTCTCTGTATCTGTCTCTCTCACTGCCTTATGGTTTGTTGTTTCATTAGTGAGCTCTAAGCTACTGCTCCAGTGCCATGCCGGCCTGCTGTCACGGTCCCTGCCATGGTGATCAGGGACTCTAACCATGCTCTGCCCTGTAAGGAACATAACACACACACACACACACACACACACACACACACACACACACACACACAGTGCAAAGATCACTGTAGAAGAGAGGAGAGGAAAAAGTCTAAAAATTAGAGGTGGTGGATAACTACAAGGAAATACTAACTTCTGCATACACCAGGGCAGCTTCACACACAAACTCAAAAGGAAAAAAAAAAAAAGGAACCAATATATTTCACCAAAGAATACAAGCCAATGAAGTAGGAGGGGAATGGTCACTTTGGAAAAGCAGCATGTTGTATCCCTCACCAGGACAATTAATTGAGAATGGATGCTGAAACTACTAGGAAGTCTGTTGGGAAGAGGGCATTCACATGACCTATAGAACACACAGTAATCGAAACAGGGCCATTTTATTTTCATAATGGTGAGATCTGGTGTCCACCTCCTTAATCAAAGGCTAAACTTAGCAACGCCTGCAGTGGGACATCCTGACAACACATGACACTTGATAAGATGTAAAAAAGTGATTATCACTCATAGTATTGACACAGGTTTTGCCCGAATAAAACCACAATGAAATAGATAAATTTA